TAGACGGTTTTGGTGCAGCAGTCATCTGGTTTCAGTCAGACCAGAAAGTAAACAATGAGAAAGGGTTTTGGCCTTCCAGTCCCACCTGATAGGAGGAAGTACAGGCATTTGTGAAGTTCATACATACAAGCAAGGGTGACAGAGAGAGGGAGATTGGGATGGTGGGGGAAGACACCTGACAACACAGCCAAGGTTTCTTACTTTCACCTCCCTCCTTCGTTTCCAGAGGTGGGCTGCCTATCTGTCCTCACTGCCCTCCAGGGTGCTCCATGCACAGTCCAAGACTGCCCTGTTCCTATAGCACTGTCTCAAAAGCCTGTTTAAAATGCCTTCTCCCCATCTTCTCACCCACCACAACTCAAGGCTATGTCTCGGTAAAAAAAAATTCTGTGATAACACACACACACAAAAGAATGCTTCAATTAGACAGCTGTCCAGTTAAAGTGATGTTTTGCCACTATTTTTAAACCACAATGATATGAGAATGACTAGACTCCTCCCCTCTCTGATTTATAGCCAGTCTGCTCAGCACATCAAAAATCCCCTTAATCTTTAGATCTTCCTGTGAAGTGTGGTTGAAAATAGGTTCAGTAAAGCCAACATAGAGCAGCTTTATTTAAAAAAAAAAAAAAAAAAAAAAAGATTTCACTTAAAAGACATCTTGTATATTTGAGAAAAACCTGGTAATCTCACTTGACATGACATACCGGAATTGTAACATGGTTCAGAACAAAAGATAAATCATGATCTTTGTTTTCTTCTCTTCATGGCTTAACACAGAAATGTTTGCAGTTTCCAAGTGTCAGTTAGATACCACAACAAAGCCATAGTTAATAAAACCATCATTCCTTGGTTCGCAAAATATGTAGAAAATTCAATGAAAGGTCTTGGTATAGGATTTTTGATAGTAATGTCTTCTTGCTTGTATTCAATATTCAGTACTTTGTTTATGTGCATATTGTAAGGATGGTTCTCTTCTTTCAAGTCTCCCTTCTGGGCAGACAATGAGGTTTAAAATGTATTTCTTCTGATCTTCCTGACTTCCTGACAATACTCCAAGATGGGCATTATTAATATTATAACTTCGTCCGTGGAAAATGGAGGCCCCAGAGGCTAGGGGTCTTACTAATGTCACAGAATAAGGACGGGGTGTACCTGGGACTCACCGTCTAGGTTCAGTGCTCATTTCAGCCCTCAAGAGTTGTGTCTCTCTGGCCTACACAGAGACCCCTCTGGGTCATTGCTTGACTTGCTGTTTCTGCGTTATTCCCTCGCGGCAACCCGCGGGTCAGCCAGACCCACTTTTCCTTGGCTTCATGCAGTTGTATTTCAGCAAAGGAGAAAGTAAACATGAGTGTTCTGCTTGGTCATTGCCTGGTGTCCCGACCCTCTCTGCTCCCATCTCCTCCCTGAATCAGGGCATGGGGAAGATCTTTCCCT